CATTGAATGTTTGCCGTGTATGTGTACTGTGGTCCTGAGTCCCCTTCGGGGTGAGAAGGGCGGAATATAAATAAAGTGTTGTTGTTGTTGTTGGTGGTGGTGGTGGTGAAGTGCTAGAGAGGAATTTAAATACTGAGAACCAAGGTCATGCAGGTGGCTAATAGGAAAAGCCATGCATAACCCAGAAACAGGACCCTGTTGTTGGATGCCACAAGTACACAAACAAATCTGTCTAGACAGATGGCCAGGCTGTACAAATAATAGATAATGACAAAGTTCTGTTCCTGGCTTTAAAATGTGTGTTCACCCTTCAGGGTGAGAAGGGCGGAATATAAATATATTGTTGTTGTTGTTGTTGTTATTAAAGTTGAAGGGTAGTATGTGAGGTAAAGGTAAAGCTTTCCCCTGACATTAAGTCTAGTTGCGTCCAACTCTGGGGGTTGGTGCTCATCTCCATTTCTAAGCCGAAGAGCCGGCGTTGTCCCTAGACGCCTCCAAGGTCATGTGGCCAGCATGACTGCATGGAGCACCATTACCTTCCTGCAGAAGAGGTACCTATTGATCTACTCACATTTGCATATTTTCAAACTGCTAAGTTGGAAAGAGCTGGGGCTAACAGTGGGAGTTCACCCCGTTCCCTGGATTCGAACCACCAACAGCAAGCTCGGCAGCTCAGAGGTTAACTCGCTGTGCCACCAGCGCAGCGAATGAAGGACGGTAGAAACAATGGGTCCCAAAGCCTTTAAATTCCTTGAAACTGCAAAGTCTGAAAAACCACACTGCGGCACGCAATACAATGGAGCCCATACAAATGCCGTTTTGCAGAGCCAAACATTTCTTTTCTTTTTTAAAACCCAACGCTCGACAACATATAATAGCAAGCACATTACAAAACCGAAAACAGCGAGAAGAATCAACAGAACCAGGGCAAATACAGAACAACCTGAAACAGCAACAATTTCAAAGGCTTGCTGCAAAAAGGAGCATCTTCAGATGCCAGAGGAAGACAAGTAAAGCAGGAACTAATCGACTCTCTCTCGGCCTATCATGTAAAGCTACAAAGAACAATGTTTAGCATTTACATGGTGAATTTTCAGTGTTCAAAGCACTCTGCATTGCAATCCATATGACACCTTGTAAAGCAAGCTGGGTAGGCAATGGAGTTTATCTATGTGCTGACTTGTCACTCAATATTTGATTCAATACTCTAGCTAGCATTATTTGGTAGAAACATAGCGATACACGCACATCCATCCACCCCCCTCTCTGTGGCTGCTATCGATTGCTTTCTGCTCAAATCAAAACTTAGTAATTGGACAGCGGATGGATCACAACTCCCATGCATTCTTGTAAACTGTAAATACATTGGAAACACTGGTGAGGAAAAACATGAATTTAATTTCCAACAAGAGAAACCTTTTTTATGCATATTAGATGTGTTGCCTATCATTTTGAGTATTTATTTGTCGTGTCAGGGCAGCCAGTCAATTATATTACATTTCTAACAGAACAAAGCAAACAAACAGGCAAAATACAAAATTTGTGAGTTTGGTAGTTGATTAAATGTCCTTTGACCAGTATCTGGCCACTTGGAGTGCTTCTGGTGTTGCTGCAAGAAGGCCCTCCATTGTGCATGTGGCAGGGCTCAGGGCGCATTGCAGCAGGTGGTCAGTGGTTTGCTCTTCTCCACACTCGCATGCCGAGGATTCCACTTTGTAGCCCCATTTCTGAAGGTTGGCTCTACATCTGGTGGTGCCAGAGCGCAGTCTGTTCAGTGCCTTCCAAGTCGCCCAGTCTTCTGTGTGCCCAGGAGGGAGCCTCTCATTGGGTATCAGCCATTGGTTGAGGTGCTGGGTTTGGGCCTGCCACTTTTGGACTCTCGCTTGCTGAGGTGTTCCAGCGAGTGTCTCTGTAGATCTTAGAAAACTATGTCTAGATTTAAGTCGTTGGCGTGCTGGCTGATACCCAAACAAGGGATGAGCTGGAGATGTCTCTGCCTTGGTCCTTTCACTATTGGCTGCTACTTCCCGGCGGATGTCAGGTGGTGCAATACTGGCTAAGCAGTGTAATTTCTCTAGTGGTGTAGGGCGCAGACACCCTGTGATAATGCGGCATGTCTCATTAAGAGCCACATCCACTGTTTTAGTGTGGTGAGATGTGTTCCACACTGGGCATGCATACTCAGCAGCAGAGTAGCATAGCGCAAGGGCAGATGTCTTCACTGTGTCTGGTTGTGATCCCAGGTTGTGCCAGTCAGCTTTCGTATGATATTGTTTCTAGCACCCACTTTTTGCTTGATGTTCAGGCAGTGCTTCTTGTAGGTCAGAGCACGGTCCAGAGTGACTCCCAGGTATTTGGGTGTGCTGCAATGCTCCAGTGGGATTCCTTCCCAGGTGATCCTCAGAGCTTGGGATGCTTGTCTGTTCTTGAGATGAAAGGCACATGTCTGTGTTTTAGATGGGTTGGGGATCAGCTGGTTTTCCCTGTAATAGGCAGTAAGAGCACCTAGAGCTTCGGAAAGCTTCTGTTCTACCAACTCAAAGCTCCATGCTTGAGCAGTAATGGGTTTGAGTGATGCTGTGGTTGATGTTCCCAGACAATGTTATGGGCAGGACTCTGGTGGTACTTACTTACTTAGGCGATCCCTCGTTGCCCGAGTAGGATAATCCTCCAGGGTAGGTGATTATGGAGCCCTAATCTTGACCCGCATGTTTTCCCGCAGTTTTCCTACCCGCTGTTAGGAATTGTGGGAGTTGGAGTCCAAAATACCTGGAGGGCTGAAGTTTGCTCATGCCTGGTCTACACTGGGCATGGACTTCATCCCATGGGTTTAGGGCTAAGTTTCCATGCGCTTTGGAAACAGAATCCCACAGAGGCCATCACATGACGTAAGGGCACTTCTGATGGGTCTCTGTTTCCAAAACACATGGAAACAGAGCCCTAAATCCATCTTCAGGAGTGACCAGCCACTGCCAGAAGGGACAGAGAGTTTCATCTATGCTGATGATCGTGCCATTACTGCTCAAGCAGGGAGCTTTGAGATGGTAGAACAGAAGCTCTCCGAAGCTCTAGGTGCTCTTACTGCCTATTACAGGGAAAACCAGCTGATCCCCAACCCATCTAAAACACAGACATGTGCCTTTCATCTCAAGAACAGAGAAGCATCCCAAGCTCTGAAGATCACCTGGGAAGGAATCCCACTGGAGCATTGCAGCGCACCCAAATACCTGGGAGTCACTCTGGACCGTTCTCTGACCTATAAGAAGCACCGCCTGAACATCAAGCAAAGAGTGGGTGCTAGAAACAATATCATATGAAAGCTGACTGGCACAACCTGGGGATCACAACCAGACATAGTGAAGCGCTATGCTACTCTGCTGCTGAGTACGCATGCCCATTGTGGAACACATCTCACCACACTAAAACAGTGGATGTGGCTCTTAATGAGACATGCCGCATTATCATGGAGTGTCTGCGCCCTACACCACTGGAGAAATTACACTGCTTCGCCGGTATTGCACCACCTGACATCCGCCGGGAAGGAGCAGCCAATAGTGAAAGGACCAAGGCAGAGACATCTCCAGCTCATCCCCTGTTTGATTATCAGCCAGCACATCAACGACTTAAATCTAGAAATAGTTTTCTAAGATCTACAGAGACACTCGCTGGAACACCTCAGCAAGCGAGAGTCCAAAAGTGGCAGGCTCAAACCCAGAATCTCAATCAGTGGGTGATACCAAATGAGAGACTCCCCCCTGGGCACACAGAAAACTGGGCGACTTGGAAGGCGCTGGACAGACTGCGCTCTGGCACCACCAGATGCAGAGCCAACCTCAAGAAATGGGGCCACAAAGTGGAATCCACGACATGCGAGTGTGGAGAAGAGCAAACCACTGACCACCTGCTGCAATGCGCCCTGAGCCCTGCCACATGCACAATGGAGGGCCTTCTTGCACAACACCAGAAGCACTCCAAGTGGCCAGATACTGGTCAAAGGACATTTAATCAACTACCAAACTCACAAATTTTGTATTTTGCCTGTTTGTTTGCTTTGTTCTGTTAGAAATGTAATATAATTGACTGGCTGCCCTGACACGACAAATAAATAAAAGGAATTGGTGTTATCTCACTCATAGAATCATAGAATCAAAGAGTTGGAGGAGACCTCATGGGCCATCCAGTCCAACCCCATTCTGCCAAGAAGCAGGAATATTGCATTCAAATCACCCCTGACAGATGGCCATCCAGCCTCTGTTTAAAAGCCTCCAAAGAAGGAGCCTCCACCACACTCCGGGGCAGAGAGTTCCACTGCTGAATGGCTCTCAGGAATTTCTTCCTCATGTTCAGATGAAATCTCCTCTCTTGTAGTTCTCCATACAGGAGAAAGCAGCAGAAAGCGGGTGAAAGACGGACCTCGATGTGGAAAGGATGTGGGATGGCTAATCATTCCAGAAGATGGGAAAGTTGGGAGGAAACGGGGTAAGATAGTTCCCTCTGCTTTCCCAGCCCTGGTGGGATGAGGTCACATATAGTGCAATTCAAAATATATTATATGACAGTGGAGATTCAGTCTGAGTTGCTTTAATCTCTCAGTTCCTCAAAGTGTTGGACTTTTGCTTTCATCTGCTGTAGTAGTATAACCAATATGGAAGAGTGCTGGAAGCTGAAGCCCAAAAATGAGCAAAGGGCACAGCTCTTTGGACCAATTAGACATCCCACCCCATGAAGCTGAGGTTCTCCACAGTTTCCAGCTCCACCAAGAGTAGCATTGAGGGAAGTTAGGACTGCAGTTGCTCTCCTAAAACAGTATTTGAATGAGGGACTTTCTGTCTTTCTGTTCAAACCAAAGGCAAGCTACTGCAGAATCTTCAAGAGAGAGACAGAAAGAGAGAGAAGAACGTTCTAAGAAAACGAGAAACGAGAGAGTGACGGGAGCTGGGACAGCTGAACTCCCTTTCTGACATTCCTGAAATTCATAAAGAATGAACTTATGGGCCTACCTCAGAACCTCTTGAGAAGCAGAGAAGCTTATCTGTGGTCTGTGGCAATGCAAGGAGAAGAAGACTCTGATTTTGATGTTCTTCAAGCCAGCACCTGACACAGCAGCGCGGCGGATTTCCTCATTTTCTTCGCCCCATCTCTTGCTTTCGTTTGCACCCCTTCAAAACACAGCTCCCGCAAACATGTGTCCGGAAGCACCCACTCACTCAACGCTGCCCTTTTTCAACCTCAAGCCTATATTTAGCAGGAAAGAGGCCTCCACGGCCTGCTTCACTTCCCTTTCGCTTTTTGGCTCAGAGGCTGAGAGTGGCTTTCTGTAAGGTTCTTCACCATGGCGGACAACCAAAACAGAAGCTTTCTCCAGGAGATGGAAAGTCTGCTCGCTTCCTAGAATGGATGAAGAGAAAGGAAAACAACCATCAGAGATGAAGAGGAAGTCCTATCTGTGTCACGAATGACTTTTCAATGACTTTAAAGCAGTGGTTCTCAACCTTCCTAATGACGTGACCCCTTAATACAGTCCCTCATGTTGTGGTGACCCCCAACCATAACATTGTTTTTGTTGCTACTTCATAACAGTCATTTTACTCCTATTATAAATCATAATGTAAATATCAGATATGCAAGATGTATTTTCATTCATTGGACCAAACTGGGCACAAATACCCAATGCACCCACGTGTAAATGCTAGTGGAGTTGAGGGAGGATTGATTTTGTAATTTGGGAGTTGTAGTTTCTGGGATTTATAGTTCACCTATAATCAAAGAGTATTCTGAACTCCACCAGCAATGGATTTGAACCTAATTTGCCACACAGAACTCCCATGACCAACGGAAAACACTTGAAGGGTTTGGTGGGCATTGACCTTGAGTTTGGGAGTTGTAGTTCACCTATATCCAGAGAGCACTGTGGACTCACGCAATGGTGGATCTGGGCCAAACTTGGCACAAATACTCAATATACGCAAATGTTAACACTGGTGGAACCTGGGGAAAATAGACATAGAACACTAGTGGACTTTGGGAGAAATAGACCTTGACTTTTGGGAGTTGTAGTTGCTGGGATTTATAGTTCACTACAATCAAAGAATGTTCTGAACTTCACCAACGATAGAATAGGCTCAAACTTCCAACATGGAATCCCTATGACCATCAGAAAATACTGTGTTTTCTGATGGTCTTTGGCGACCCCTCTGACACCCCTTTGCGACCCCCTCAGGGGTCCCGACCCCCAGGTTGAGAAACACTGCTTTAAAGCATTGGTTCTTTTTATTGCCATTTCCAGTGTGAGAGGATACATCAGATTACAGAAAAACTTATAGATAAAGAATGACATTGAACATAGAGACATACAGATTCTATGCAACTACATTGGATTTACAATTACAAACAAAGGAGAATTACATTTTCACTCAACATTCACACACATGTACATGCATTCATCCTCATGCACCCAAACATTTGCCCTCCTTGGAGAAGCACCTGTTGGTCCAGACCCTGCTTTCCTGCAGCCTGTCAACGCACAGTTCCATAACGCCAACTTCAAAATGCCGAAATGCCAAAACTTCTTTCCCTAAGAACAATGCCAAAGACCAGATCTCTGTTTTCCATACAGCAGAACCTGACTCCCTGCACAAAATCCAAGACCCCAAAAGTGCACTTCTTCCTCTTCCCTTGAGAAAGAAGGCCAAAGTGACCAGACTGCTCCCTTGCATATCTGCCAGTCTCTGAATACACCATCTCTCTCCTTCCCATGGACCAGAGAGGCAGGTGGAACAGACTCCTCAGGTCTGCCACACTTTGAACATTATTAGACTGAGTCTTTTACAGGAATATTCTGTTGATGTAATCCCAAACTTGTTAATTAATGATATACTTCTTCCATCCAGTTTCCTAGCCAGATGTTGATCTTCTTGATTGGTGTTAACAAACACAAGGCTTGTGTTGACTTCCTTCTTAACATAAGGAATGTTGCAAACATTTCCTTAACTTGAAAGAACCGTTGTCACACTCTGTATCAGAGTTTACTTTGAAGTTCTCATTAGCAACTTTTAATTACAGTCCAGGTCAGCAGGTATAGTCATTGCAGGCCTTAATATTATACTGGTGTTTCCAAAATTATTAGCTCCATCCATACATTCATCTTCCATTCTTCCATTCATGTCATATCAACACATCATATTACATTCACATTATCAATTCTGCACAGTGAATTTATTACATCTGTTTCAAAAGCCAGAGCTTGGAAAAGGTCCTTTATTTGAGGGAGAAAATCACTATCACCCAGAATGTTACTTTTTGGACTTTGGTTCCCAGGATGTCCCAGCCAGCATGGCCACTGAGGCTCTGGGAGTTGTAGCCCTAACAGGCATTGGCACCAACCATCACATAACATACATATTCCACATTATAGATGGGAAAAGCTATTACACTATGCAATACAATTTTTATTCCTGGGTTGTAGATGTCAATTCTTAATTGATTCTATCATTACATCATGACAATTGCATCTCTGTATGCAAACTGGCCCACACCGTGCGATCCATGGAGTAGGCCCTACTCTCAGTCCCACCCCCATCTCAAGCACAGCTGGTGGGAACGAGAGACGGGGCCTTCTCCATGATTGCTCCCTGCCTCTGGAACTCCCTCCCAAAAGAATTTAAAACTGCTCCCCCTCTCTTTGCTTTCAAAAAACTGCTGAAAACCCACCTATGTATTGTGACGTATGGAGAGGAGGAAGACTAAAATACCCAACTTATATTCTTGCCTAGAAATGTTAAACCTTGTTTAGTAGGCCTGGGTAACAACGGAAAAATTTGTTTCTAAAATCGATTTGTATTTGGGGGGTTTTTTTGTTTCGATATTTAAAATAATTACAAAATTTTCCTTTTAAAAAGTTCGATATTTACGAAATTTCGTAAATGGTAAAAAATTAACGAATCGATTTCTGAAACAATAACGAATCGATTCGTTAATGGCGGGCGCGACCGCGAAATACGCTAAAAAACCTCCAAAACCTTCTGAAGCTTCCCTCTCCCTCTGTTGTTGACTGTTGGTGTGATATTATAATTTTTTTTCACTAATTAAACCATAAAACTGGCCCAGACATGCGGAAATAATAACGAAACGACCTCAAAACAATAACGAAACGAATACAATATCGAAATACGAAGCATTTACAAAACGTTTTTGAAAATTCGTTTTTTTAAATAATTGCTCCAGAATGGTTCGTTATCGTTTTGTAATTGAAAAAATTAACGAATTATTAACGAATTACGAATTAACGAAACGAAACCGCCCAGCCCTATTGTTTAGAGACTAGAACTCACCTCAGCCTGCTGGTCGTTGCATAACATGTCATCTTTTATAATGGTTTTAGCCTTGGAAAGTGTGTGCGGTGTACACACTCAGAAAGTGTGTGTGTGTGTGTGTCTGCAACCGAGCGCCTCCTCTGGAGTAAACTTGCCTCCTTGCCTTGGAAAATGTGTGTGGTGTGCAGGCCCAGAAAGTGTGTGTGTGCATGTCTGCAACCGAGTGCCTCCTCTGGAGTAAACTTGCCTCCTTGCCTTGGAAAATGTGTGTGGTGTGCAGGCCCAGAAAGTGTGCGTGTCTGTCTGCAACCGAGCGCCTCCTCTGGAGTACACTTGCCTCCTTGCCTTGGAAAGTGTGTGTGGTGTGCAGGCCCAGAAAGTATGGAGACGCCTGCAGCCGAGCACCTCCGCTAGAGTAAGAAACAAGTAAGAAGCCTTCTTAAAGCACACGCCTACCTGCCTCTGAGTGCCTCTCCTCTCCTCTAGAGTAGAGCTTAAATGCCTAAAATGATGGGAAGGGGAGCCTGGGAAGCCCCCTTCCCCATTATGGGAAGCTCCCCCCCCCATAATGTGCTGATAGAAAACAGATCTTGTGGACCCCAGAGTGAAAACAGATATCTGCCCACCCAATTGCTAGAGCAGTGGTTCTCAACCTTCCTAATGCCATTACCCCTTAATACGCTTCTCATGTTATGATGACCCCAACCATAAAATTAGTTTCGTTGCTACTTCATAACTGTCATTTTGCTGTTGTTATGAACAGTAATGTAAATATCTGATATGCAGGATGTATTTTCATACACTGGACCAAATTTGGCACAAATACCCAATACGCCCAGATTTGGATACTGGTGGGATTGGGGAAGGGTATTGATTTTGTCCTGTTGGAGTTGTAGTTGCTGGGATTTATAGTTCACCTACAATCAAAGAGCATTCTGAACTCCACCAACGATGGAATTGAATCAAACTTGGCACACAGAACTCCCATGACCAACAGAAAATACTGGAAGGGTTTGGTGGGCATTTATTAGGCGACTCGGAGCTGTTTACAACAATTCAACAGTATACATAGTACAGATAATAGGCATTTAAAACAATAGCATCACAATCAATAAACATAGCATCAATACAAAATTACATCAGTACAGCAAATCCATCAGGTCTCATCGCTAGAATCAGTATCCAATCTCATTATCCATTATTCCGTGTTCCAATAATCAATCAGTCACACTGCTTAGCCAAATGCCTGTTCGAATATCCAGGTCTTCAATTTCCTCCGGAATACCAGCAAGGAGGGGGCCGATCTAATATCTGCAGGGAGAGCATTCGACAGCCGGGGGGCCACCGCTGAGAAGGCCCTATCTCTCGTCCCCGCCAGGCGCACTTGTGAGGCCGGCGGGACCAAGAGCAGGGCCTCCCCAGATGCTCTTAACGTCCTAACTGGTTCATAGGAGGAGATGTGTTCGGACAGGTAAGTCGGGCCAGAACCGTTTAGGGCTTTAAAGGCCAATGCCAGCACTTTGAATTGTGCTTGGTAGCAAATTGGCAGCCAGTGGAGCTGGTGCAACAGAGGAGTTGTATGCTCCCTGAGTGCTGCTCCTGTTAGCACTGACCTTGAGTTTTGGGAGTTGTAGTTCATCTACATCCAGAGAGCACTGTGGACTCAAACAATGATAGATCTGGACCAAACTTGGCACGAATTCTCAATATGCCCAAATGTAAACACTGGTGGGAAATAGACCTTGCTATTTGGGAGTTGTAGTTGCTGGGATTTATAGTTCACCTACAATCAAAGAGCATTCTGAACCCTACCAACTAATAAATTGGGCCAAACTTCCCACACAGAACCTCCATGACCAACAGAAAATACTGTGTTTTCTGGTAGTCTTTGGTGACCCCTCTGACACCCTCTCCCAACCCCTCCAAGGGTCCCGACCCCCAGGTTGAGAAACAGTGTTCTAGAGGCTCCCAAAAAATGGATCAGAACCTCCACTGAAAGCCAGGATACAAAACAGGTCAAGGTTTACCCTGAATGCACAACCCTAATTACTATTATTGTGCAGATGTGGAAGTTCA